TGCATGCTCTTGGGGGGCAAGCTATCAGCAAGAAAGGCAATTAGCAATGGACTTGCTTTAGGCTCAGACTTAATGCTGGTTTTGCTTTGTTTTGGTGTTAGAGTGCAAGGAAGGAGATAAAGAAGTACATTGTGGACACCAGACTGGTGCCAGCAATGCCAGCAGAAGGGGGGCTGGAATATGAAGGGAAGGCACAATGTAATGAGCATGCACATAAGTGTAGTAGAAATGGAAATTTATTTAATAGCAAAGTAAAGTCTCCTTGCTTTGGGATTAATCATGGAAATTTCTTTGAGATCATCAGCTATGAATGACAGAGGAGGAGTAAGTCTTGGTTTTATTATTCACAAGATGACAATGAACCACTAAGAAGTGTCGGCTGTGAAGAAAAAACAGGTGACCAAAAATCTATTAGGCAAGATGCTTCCTACAGAGATAAGAATTATTAATGCTGTCATAGAAGTCTCTGGAGAGATGTCATTCCCCCTTTATACTGGTGGCTATGAATTAGGAAAGACTTGGTCAGCCTGGAGCAGAGGTAAAGCTGATGGCCAGGGGCAGCCACTCTCTGATAAGGGAATACATGCAAGAATAATTAGCTCAGCAAAAGACTGAGAGCTTATATGATCTCTCTTCATAAGTAATTCAGGAGAGTTAGTAGCAGGAAGGGGAAAGGGCTATTTAAGTTAAGCTAAAGAGCAGTTTTGGCTCAAGAGCGAGTGGTGTGAGAGGCTGTGGGAATCCCACTGTGCCAGGGATGGAGCTGGAGGAAGTGAGAAATGCCATTAACCTTCCCGGATGCCCTTGGCTGTGGGCTGAATAAACTGTCTCAGCTGCAAAGGACTTGCAGGGCTTTAAAAGGAGAATGGGAGTGATGAAGTAACAAAGAGAAATCCAAGGGCAATCAGAAGGGACTTCAGGACCTTAGGGCAATTGGTTAAAGGGCCACAGGTAGTGTTTTCCTCTACCCTTCCAACAGCAGGGAATAATATTGAAAGGAGCAGGCAGACCCTGCTGATCAATACGTGACTGCAAGGCTGGTGCTACCGGTAGATTTTTGGGTTTCTCAGTCATGGGATTGTCTGTACAACACCTGGCCTGTTGGTGCCTGATGGGATTCACCTTTCTCAGAGTGGGTAAAGGATTTTTGCACAGGGGTTAGCAGGACTTATTGATAGAATTATATGCTGAGTTTGAAGGGGGAAAGGGATAAAAACAGGCTCACCAGTGATAAACTTTGGGGTGGCATGACAAAATTTGAGGGACTGCATGTTAGTGAGATCCTTTGGTCTGCTCCACGAGGTGCTGAGTACATTGAAACATGTTTGAAATGCTTCTACACAGGTGCATGCAGCATAAGGAGCAAGCAAGAGGAGCTAGAAACCTTGGCTCAGTCCCAGAGCTATGATATCATTGGCATTAGTGAGGCATGGTGAGAAGAGTCCTCCAGGTGGAGTGTTATGGTGGACACACGATAAACTCTTCAGAGAAGAGAGGCAGGGCAGGTGGTGCTGTATGTAATGGTGCTGTATGTGATGGAGGGGATGGGCTGTACAGAGCTTGCAGTTTGGTGATGACATTTTGTTTGAGAGCTTCTGGGTGAGGATTAAGGAACAAGAAAATTAAGTAGATGTCATTGTGTGCTGTTCTGTACTGTAAGGAGAAAATCTGTGTGGCCAGTGCTCAATTAGAGCCAGAGCTCAATCAGAATGAAGCTGGCTAATACTGTAGGGGATATATACATACATACATATATATATATGTATATATATATATATATATATAAATGTTAACAGCAAAAGGAGGACCACAGATCACATCGATCCATTACTTAAGGATGGTCACCTCACAAACAGGGATGTAGACAAAGCAGAGACAATTAATGCCTTCTTTACCTCCATCTTCAACACCGATGGTGGGCTCCTGCATTGGAGGGCTCTGACTGGGGGAATGAAAAAAATCCCAGCTAACTCCAAACTTGTGTTGGATTTTCTGCTCCGGCATATAGAAGCTTATGGGGCCCAATGAGCATAGAAGCCTATGGGGCCCAATGAGTCTCATCCCAGGGTACTTGGAGAGATGGCTGATATTGTAAGAACTCTCTTAATAATCTTTTGGCTGTCTTGGGAATCTGGAGAAGTCCCAATCAACCAGAAGCTGGCTAATGTCCCAGTTTTCAAGAAGGGCAAGGAAGAAGACCTTAGTAATTACAGGCCTGTCAGTATCACTTCAGTGCCTGGTAAAATTAGGGAGAAGATTATTCTGGGAGTTACTGAAAAGCACCTGGAAGACAACACAGTCATTGGTCACAGCCAACATGGATTCAGGAGGGAAAAGTCCTGTTTAAGTTTCCTTTTATGACAAGGTTGCCCACCTAGTTGACCAAGGTGGCAAGACTTTGTAGAGAGATTAGAGGGCTGGACAATCACCAAAAATACGAAGTTTAACAAGAGCAAGTGCTGTATTCTGCACCTGGGACAGGGCCAACATGGCTATATGTACAGTCTGGGGGAGAAGAGGCTGGAGAACAGTCCCACAGAAAGGGATCTGGGGATTCTGGACAGCAGAAAGTTGAACATGAGCCAGCAGTGTGCCTTGGCAGCCAAAAGTACCAACCATACCCTGGAGTGCATCAGGCATGGTACTGCTATTTAGTCAAGAGGAGGGATTGTCCTCTCTGCTCTGTGCTGGTGAGGCCTCACCTCAAGTGCTGTGTGCAGTTTGGGGAGCCACAGTATAAAAAGGACATAAAACTAGTCCAAAAGAGGGCTACAAAGAATGTAAAGGGTCTAGAGGGGAAGACGTATGAGGAGCAGCTGAGGTCCCTTGGTTTGCTCAGCCCCGAGCAGAGCAGGCTGAGGGGAGGCCTCATGGCGGCCTGCAGCTCCCTCACGAGGGGAGCGGAGGGGAGGTGCTGAGCTCTGCTCTCTGGGGACAGCAACAGGACCCAAGGGGATGGCATGGAGCTGGGATGGGGGGGGGGGTCAGGCTGGGGGCTAGGGAAAGGTTCTGCACCCAGAGGATCGTCAGGCACCAGGACAGGCTCCCCAGGGCAGTGGTCACATCACTGAGCCTGCTGGTGTTCAAGAAGTGTTTGGACAACACTCTCAGACACATGGTCTGATTTTTGGGTGGTCCTGTGTGGAGCCAGGAGTTGGACTCAATGATCCTTGTGGGTCCCTTCCAACTCAGGACATGGTTCTATGATTCTGTAGGTAGCCAGGGGCTTTGGGCTGGGGTGATTAGCACATAGTATAAAGCTGATATTTGCTTTTCTAATAGGGTATAGCTGTTTCAAGATGCTGAGAAGTTTGGGATATTGAAAAGGGTGAAAATCAGTTGGGCCTTTGCTGAAGAACAAGGTTATAAAGCTGAAGGTGGGAGGTGACAGCAAGCACAAAAGCTCCATTTCTGAGTCTGGGCTCTCCTGCTGTTGTGCCTTTGTGGCTGAATGCTGGAAAGGGTGGGGGAAAAATGATGAAATGAGTATATATGCTGAGAGCAAAGAAGAAGAGTTTTTCATCTATGCTTTCAAGGAAGTATCTGAAGCACAGTTCAGCTATTGATAACTTCAGGCATGTATAGGCTTGAAATCTTTCATCCCTATCAGAAACTACCCGGGCAAAATACTTTACTGCAAGAGCAGAAGCTCTGTTGTACAGCAGCATAGAGGGCAACAAGTACTCTGCAAATCTTTGTGCTACCTACAGCTGTGGACACACTTCCAGCCTCCAGAAGAATCATTCCCTTTCTTTCCTGTGCAGGCAAAGTCAATGAAGAAGACTTCATTAACACCAAGCTGAGGTGTGTTTGTGGTGGGAAGTCCTCCACCTGTCCAAAATATGGTGTTTTGAAACAGTGAAACTGTTACAAGGTGAGCCCAGGAAATCTGGCCTGTGCCCTTTTTGAGCGATATCTCTTCAGCGTCATTGTAACTGCTCTCAGAAGAGTCCTGGACAATATCTGTGCTTACAGAAGCACCCTCCTGACATGTGCCACACAACGAACACCAGATACGTTGCTTTTTTTCATTCTCTCTACTATTACACACACTGTACCCATCAGGATTGCTTATCCAAAACTCCATCCATGCAGCTCCCTCCTAGGTGCCAAAAGCAAACCTGGCCCTTTGTGCCACCACCAGCAGCACAGCCTCCATGGTGCAGTACAAATGGGAATCTGTTTCCCAGTCTTCCCCTTCTCCCCTCCCTCCCAGGGCATTTGCTAGGGCTCATACCACCTTGACACAGAGGGCACGTGTCACTGTCACAGCTCCAGCTCGTCCTCCCACCATTAACCGGAGGCAACCCCAACTGCGAGGGTGGTGTTAGCTCTGATGTCCTAACATGAAGATGTCCTAATATAGAAAGACAGGATGGGAGAGTGGCAGCAGGTGATGAAGGACAAGCCACCCCAATGAATGAGCATTAAAGGCTGATGGAGAAGCATGAACATGATAGGGGTGGGGGAGGAAGGAGTTTGAAGAAACACTGATTGAGGTCAAGAAGATTTCTATTTTAAAAGGAGACAGAGGAACATTAAACAGGTAATGACAAAGTCAATGAAGGAATGTTACTGCACAGTACAGCTGCATGATAATCAGGAGAGGTTATACAAGTATTCACTAGCTATTTGCACTGATCAGCCCAGGGACTTGGATCATGATGGAACCTGAGCATGCAACAATAAAAGGAGATTTCCCAGGTGATTGCAGGCATGATCCAAAATGAAGTACCTGCATCTTTGTGGCCATGTTGTAGTGGCAGCCACAGAACACCAAATAAAATGCCCAGGAGTTCAAAGGCATACTCTGCACCCTGTCCACCTCTGTTCCCCAGGAAGTGGAGGAAACAACATTTAAAGAGAATAATTATGTGAAAATCAGTATGTACAGCTCTCTTTCTTAGGGACAAATAACTTCTATTGAGATCCGTGGGGCCTAGTCATAAGGGGTTTGGTCTGAAGTCCTTTAAAATAAATGAGAGTCCGTAGCCTTTCTATCTGCTTTAGCAGGTTTTTGTTTGTTTATTTGTTTTGTTTTGTTCATGGTTTTTATTTTTATTTCCCCCCTGAGTCAGGAAAACAAGATTGCTGTTACTTAAGGTAAGGTCTGGAGAGAAGTTTTATTTGCGTTTCTATTAATGTTAAAATCGCATCCTTCTGTAAGCTTAGAAAAAAAAATAATCTTGCAAACTATACTTCTGAAAAACTGCCTTTTGGAGTAGGCAGGACTAGACAAGTCTACCTGGATGAGGCAAGACAAGCTCATTAATGCTACTGTTTGTGAAAAAAACAAGCACCCCAAACACCACTAAAAACAAAACAACAACAACACAACAAATCAAAAACAACCATTGAACCATCTTCCAGTGCTTTAACATGAACAGTAGGCTGCCCAGGAATATATATCTGCATCCTCTCATCTGCACAACCATACTACAGTAGTGCCTGGCAAATTTAATTACAACACAGCATTCTGTTTTCCCCCAACGAGAAGAGGAATTTGTTTGCCTCTTGCCCTGGGCTTTCACATGTTGTTCAGAAAGCTCATATGCACCAGCACGGTCTGGGTGAGAGCTCTGCAAATGCAGGCCAGCTGCCAGCAAAGCTGCCTCCAGCTCTGTTGCTCTCCTCGCGGAGCTGTCAGCCCCGCACTTCCAGGGGAGCAGAGCTGTCAGGGGGCAGCCGGTGCTGCACCGCGCTGCTGCCCTGCTTGTAATCACAGCACATCGAGCATGCAGGCTGCTAGGAATACCTTTATTAAACATGTGCTGCTGCTGTGGCTTTTGCTGGTGCTGTGTAACAGCGCTGGGCTTTGAGCCTTACTGTTTCTGAAGCATCAGCAACTGCATCAGTTGCTGTTCCTGTTAGCAGGGCAGGTGGAAGGGTGGGAAAGAGCCTGAAGCTGATCCAGAAGAAGGCCTGCACCAATAGTGCTTTTCCTGTCTATGTGATGTGGGAATTGTCGGGATGCCAACAATTCTGCTCCTTTTGAACATCTTTTAGCAGAAGAGGCTTCTGATTTCTGTTCCAGTTGAAATGCTTCCATTGGTTTCTCTTGGTTCCACCTGAAAAAAATAGGATTTAGATCAGATCCTTTGGGCAACAGATTTTCTGCACAAGTTATTGATCGCTGGAGCCGTGGTTCATCCACAAAAACCCCAGAAAGACCCCAGTGGAATGCCGTCACAGAAAGGTGAACTTGACCTGAAAATGGATTTCAACTTCAAACATCAATGTTAACCAACATGATTTAACTTCCTGGCAAATACTCTGCCTTTGCAATGATCACGAAGAAGCAGAACTAGCCAGAGCTTTTTGCAGCCTTTAAACCTACCTCGATCCTTCAGCTTCCGCCCATTTATTAGGCCCACATCCAGCTGGTGCTGTCTGCCCACGGCCTTGGAACGAATGCAGTTAGGCCAGCTACTGTGTTTCCACAGCAGTGCCTCACGTCGGGCAGAGGGTACCAAATGGCATGAATCCTGCAGTGGCCTCACACTTTCTGGAGGTTCTCCAGGGCTGAAGAATCCTCGATGGATTAGTTAAACACACGTCAGGGTTGTTTCTCCCTGTCGTAACACAGATCACCGTGACCAGACTTGAGGATGTGCTCCACAGTCCTTCACAGAGCCCCAACCCATCACATTTCCAAGTGCAGTCCATTACAAGTGCAGTCCAAGCACAAAATGAGGCTCAGAGTACTTCTGGGTAGTACAGTTATGATTCAAAGAATATTAAACTTTTTTATTAGTTTGAATTTTTTTTTTTTTTTTAAATCCAGCTAGGCGAGTAAGATGGCCACCGTTTAACTTTCAGCTTACAAGGAACCTGCTGGTTTCTGCTGAGTCACAATGCTTCACACAGAAATGACTGTTGAAAGTCAAAATGCCAAATTACTTTCCCATGTAGAGGTAATAAGTACATTTCACAAAGGGCAGAAAGTCTGTTAGGACATTTCTGGTTCTAGGAATTTGCAGGCTAAGGAATTAGTGGAGATATGAAATGAGTGAGCTTAGATAGGATGAGACACTCCAGTTACTTTTACCATTATTAATGCGATCTGGTGGATTCAGCCACTTTACTGGAGCCTTTTTCTCCTTATACAGGAAAATGTGAGTTGGGACTTTTTTTCTGACCTGGGACACACGACAAGCCCTTGTCCAAGAAGGCTGCATAGGGTGGCACTGCCTCCCGCCTGCAGGGAGCACAGTCAGGGACAGCACCGAGCAGCTTGCTGCAGGCAGCATTTAACCTGTAGAAGTGTATGCAGGGTTTTATGTATACATCTGCTACACCTGCTGTGATTTAAGGCAGTGTCTGCCGTAAGGAGGAAGTCACTGGGCACACTGTACTTTGTGGGGATGACCCACTAGGTTCTGGTCACCCTCAACATCCACACAAGTGAATACAAGGCTACTCCAAGTCCAACACCTTGGACTTGTGGATCCCTTCACTCCCAGGGGCTTTGCCACAGCAGGCTCCAGTCTTGCCAGTAAACTTAATGGACAGCCAGCCCTATGAAATCAACGGGACAACATGTGCATTCACAGCTACAGACACGTGCAGGTGTTTGCAGAATCAGTGTCTTCTACACCCCCACACCTTTCTTCCACCTCACTGTATTACAGCAAATGTGTATGTGTGTGGCAGGCTGCTTTTCTCTGCAACATTTAGAAGACAGCCCCAAGATAGGGCTGAATATCTGAGCAGAGTGACTTCAAATGAGCTTGGTTCAGACCCAGGTTCTGTTTTGCTTTCCACAAAGTAGCGGGGTCTCTGTGCTCTCTCCAAGTGTTGTTGATCATCTGCACAAGCAGCAGCACTCTCCCTCAATTTCTGGCCTTTACTAAGGAAACCATTGATCTAACTAACAGCCCGAATTTATCAAATACTGATCAGATGCACCTTTGCTGGAGACAAAGATCTTTTTCATCAATTGCATTGGGAATTTTACATGGAATTCAATATGTGTATGGTCTCTGAAGGCAAAGATTTTCACCGAGTTTTATTCTGAAGTATAAATAGCCTTTGACTAAACTTGTTTTATTAATTTGCAGTCATGTCTCTTCTGTATGTAGACAGGATTTCCAAGTAAGGGCAGATTATCGAAATCAGATTCTAGCAATGATTATGCTGTTGGTTACTTTCCTGCTTGCAGCATGTAGTTGTATTTCTCTTCCCTCCTCAAAGAGACTTAGACCCTTTGATACTGAAATACTAATTACTCTGTCATCTGTTGTTCACTTATTAATGCAGCTAATTCTCTTCAGGCATATTTTCCTCTTTTTGGTTGCTGCCTTTAACACTTCATTCTGTAATTTGTTTGCTGCTTTTTCTAACCTTTTTTTTTTTTTTTTTTTTTTCAGACTAGATTCATAATGTTGGGGTTGCTGGATAAAAATCTAAAAATCATTTTTTTAAAGTAAAAAAATGAGAGATTTTATAGTTTATTTGATATTTAGAACTCAAAAATTCAAGAGACTGGAGAATGCTTACCGTTAATTAAAATTAGGTTTTAAATTTTCTTTGTTATTTAGAATAAGTATTATAGAGGTTTACTTGATTTGCAGGAGCTCTTCACACCAGATGCATTAAAATGCAGCCAAATGTAATTTACATACCCAGAACAGAGGAAGGGAGACTGGGGGTGGTGTCAGACCTACAGAGTGTGTGGTCACAACAGCATGGAAGAAAATATGAAGATCCTAAGAAATAGGAAGTTGGCAGGAGCTCATGGTGCCTTGTCTTTGTAAGGAGCATGGTGTGTGAACTGGTGACTTGTGCAGAGAAAGGATTTAACCACTAAATGGCTTGTTGGCATCACAGGTATTGGAATATTTCATGTCCTTCTGCTGCTGGTGCTTTTAAAAGTAAACTGTGGCAAACAAACAGAAAGAATCCAGAACCAAAAAGGGCAAAGATAGGGTTTGGACGAATGCTTCAAAGGCTGGAAGAAATGCCTTGCAGTGGGAGACAGGGAACTGAATCTGCTTGGCTTGTCAAGGAGAGGATTGAGAAGTGACCTGATTGCACTGTGAGGCACCTTCACAGAGGAGGAAAACAAATTCAAAAGGCTTTTTAATCCAGCTGAGAAGGCAGAACAAGAAATGAGGCTGATGGAAAAAGGGAAGCCAAAGACAGGCAAATCCCAAACCAGGCATGTTTTTAATGTTGCAGAAAATTAACTCTTTGAACAAAGAGTCAAGGGGCATGGTTGATTGTTCTTCTTTTTCTGTCTTCAGTCTTCTCTGGGAGATAATGCTCAGTTAATCATCAGTAATTTTGTGCAATACAGTCTTAATGGGGTAACAGTACACGTCCTCTGACATACCAGGGGTTAGCCTGCACAACCTCAACACTTCTGGTGGCAAACGTTATGCTGCTGTGAAAGAAGTGCTGCTTCAAGTGAAGTGTGAGTCTCAAAGGGTTTAAAATCTGTTTTGTAACGTCCTACTGGCTTGAGCAGGGATGACAAGCATGTCTTTTTCTCCTATTTTATTTATTTCTTGCTTTTCCTTTCTCAAATAGCGGACAATGCCACAAGTTTCAAATCACGTCTGTTGGACAGACTTGATATTGAAGTTCAGTGTGTTTTGAGATCCTTGGATCCTTTCAGTATTCCTTCAGAAGTACTGAAAGTTTCGTATGTCGCTCTGACATAAACCTATGTGTACTTACAGCTGTGGTGGAGCAGAAGGAAGATGGAAATATTTGTTTCTTGAAGTCTTCTGCTGAATGCCTTCAGGGTACTGTTCTGGGGGAGAAGAGGTGCCCACTTCTATTTGTACAACAGGCAATTATTTTGACCATAGGAATAATCGTAGGAGTGGGGCAAGCCATCACTGAAATTTTCTCTTTTGACAGTCTTCCCAGGAAATGCACCCATTTCACAAGATTCTGTAAAAAAAAAAAAAAAAGTTTATGTAATGATGTAATTGCTGTAACAGTAGTGCTAGACCATTGTTTCTAAGAGAACAGTGACTATGAGATCTCTTGATGAAGAATTGCCACAATGGAGACTTGAGGTCCTTTGGATGTGTAACTGATGTCAGATTTGCTGCTAGTTTTTTCTCGGCTGTTTACTCTGGTAAATTCTGGTTTCATCCAAGTCCTAGCTAATGGAAGAGCCAAGAGCTATGAAGTTATTTTCTCTTTCACTTTGATGATTTTGCATTGAGGGAATATTCCCCAAGGGGAGGTGAAATCATGGAAACAGTTTATGGGTGGACATTTATTGCTTTCGGTTTATTGCAGGTAGGAGTTCCCACCTACACTACAATCAAGTGTGCAAAAGCTTGCAGGAAGTGCTATTGCTTTTGAGTTCATGTAAAAAGGCTTCTCTGCTAAGACATAATCTACAGAAGAGTATTCCTGCGCTGTTATAATAAAAAGAAGCATGTTTTCAAGCTTTGTAATATTTTTATTTTTATTTTTCTTAATGAGAATTGCCTGTAATGCACACAGTCAGTGACTTGGCTAGTGAGCCAAGTGATTTTCCTGGGCTTCACCAGCACAAGCTGGTCAGAAAGACTGCAGAAAGAATTGTTGTCTATCCTTGACACGTAAAGTTTAAACCAATTCAGGAAGTTTAAAAGCAGCATAAAATTTCATGTTGCCAGCACACGTGGTTTAAAACTTTGCAGACATGTTGACAGCTGATTATGATGAAAAATTTTTGTAATGATCCCCTTGAACCTTGAGGCTGGGGATATGTATCAATGGTGAATTGGGTTGCTACTGGTTTTGTGAGGAGAAATTTCCTCTGATATGACAATCCATAAATACCTGAAAAAAAGGTAGGTTTAGCAAATATGCATTGCACTATACTTCAAAGCAGTTCAAAAACCCTACTTCAGGGAAAATCTCAGGATAGGCCCTTCTTATTTGCATAATTAGTTTAATTTCGTCACCTTCCTAAAGTTTAGTCATTGTAGTTTTAGCACAGACAAGTGTTATATCGGTTTCGGTGCTGCAGTGAAGCATTTCTTATTGGATCAGCTTTGTTTCAGCCAACACGTGGAGGTGTTTGCAACTTGCTGAGCAAACTGCTGCTGTTCTGCGTGTGTTTGCAACTTCTCCTCAGCTCAACGAGAGTCACAGGCTGAGCGCCAAGGGAAAGAGAGCCAGTGAAAAACATCTGACCGAGGCCAGGTCAACACGCAAAAGGTTCCTGCTAAGGCCTCAAATACCTACCTGCAACTAGGTGTTGAGTTTGGATTTTGCATTTAGGTCCCTGTTCTTGTTTTATTGGGCTAGGGAAGACTGAAAGGTTTACTCATGTTTTCAGCTATTTTATAACATTTCAAAATATCCAGATGAATCACGTTTGAAACCTCTAAGAAACGCAGGTTCTCATTACTTTGTTTTATCTTTATTTTCCTAGTCACAAGGAACTTTTTGTGGAAGGCTCCCAAGGGGACCATATACTTGTAAATGTTTCTAAAGCAGGTATGAAAATTGTGGCTAAAAAAAAAAAAAAAAAAAAAAGCAAGTTGAGAATTGTAATGTTCTGGATGCTAGAATCCATTCTGATGGATTAGTAGAAAGAAGAACTAGAGAAGGTTACTTCTATTATTGCTTTGGTACTTCAATAACCCTAATTTTCCCGCCTGTAAAATGAGCATTAACCTTCCTCTGAAAATGCTAAAAAAATCAAGTTTAGACCTTTGAGAAGCTGACAGGAACATGTGCAAAGCGTGTTACAGTTTACAACTAGCATCCTTTCTTTTTTTCTCTCTCCAATTCACAAAATGGAAACCACTTCAGTAACATCAATACACCAGTCACCTGGTAGGAAACCCACTCCAAACAGGTTTGAATAATTCAGGGCCATTTGCTGTGTGGACATAAACTGTGAATGGATAACATCTGATCCATAAACACCTTTGACTGTCCCTCCTCTCTGCCTTACAAAACTGCCATGTCGAGTTAAATTTGCTGCATTTCACGAGGAGGAGAGGAAGGAGACGAGCAGCCTGAGCCTTGATGGCCAGCAGTACCGCATTTGCTTCATTCTGCCAAATCCCATTTTCAGCAGGTTGCCCTCTTCTGTTGCATGGAGCTCGCTGCACATACACACAACGTGAGTGAAAGTCGGAGGTGAGAATATCAGCAGTTGAAACCATATTGCTCATTTCTTTATTATTTGTGATTTGCATACAATGTGTGCTTTCCTGTACAGCCAGAGATAAAGCTGACAGAAACCAAGCCACGACCCACAAAGCAGCAGTATGACCACCACGCTGGGGCACAGCCTCAGTGCCTTTGCAGAATGACAAATCTATTTCTCTCTTGTTCAGGTTTTGTTGCACAAGCAGAGATGACAGAAGAGCTACTGAGGTTCAAAGCTTATTCCTTCAGGCAGGAGGCAGCCTGCAGCCCACTGCCAAACCCAAAGAGGGGTTGCAGAAGAGCAGAGCAGACCCTCAGGGCACCTCACTGCTAGGCTTGGTGGTGGTTTCCACATGACAGCGTCTGCTTCTCAAGCTGATGGAGCATGGCCCAGCCTAGCTTTTCTGTATGCCATCTCTGTATCCTGTGCAAGATGCTAGGATACTTAAAATAGCAAATATGAGCATCTGAAAGGAAGAAAACATTAAGGAGAGTGCTATTCCCACAACTAACAAACGTGACACTCATTACGTGCTCCATCTCCCTCTCTCCTCCACCTGCACATTTAGACACAGAGCAAGGAAGGGAGAAAAATGAAAAAGCAACATTAAGACCACCAAAACAGTCAGTACTCAGACTTCTTACACATATGCCTGCCAACCATTTGTATGCAATGACACATTTGGAGGAAGGATCTTATGAAACGTGCAGCCTCTGGCAGCGAGTGCCTGAAAAGCATTCGTTATGCCTATTTCTCATTTAGTGCATACTCTTGGTTTTGTGAATGCATTTAACTAAGACCACTGCCCTCTTAATAGCCATCACAGAAAAGACATACGGATGATGACTGAGGCTGTGCATATTTTTTTTTTAGAGCAAGTTCCTTCTCACACTAGAAGTTGATGCCCTTCAGGGGATAGCTGTGAAATCCTGCTTTAACTCTTCTTTCCTTTTTAATTTTCAGTCTCTGTGCTGTGGAGCATCCTAATATATGAAGGTAGCTAGCATTGTATATTATGACTTTGTAATTTAAAACTTTTTATTTTTGTAAACTGATCTTCGAATGTTGAGCTTACATTTCCTCAAAAAATCATTTGGAAATAAATCAAAGAAAATAGACCAAAATGAAAAAATAAAATAAAATCAAACCATACTGATTCGCTTTAACATTTATTGAAGTTACTGTGGCCAAAACAAAACCAGAAAACAATACTTGTCAGTATGAGAAGTGTCCAAGTAAATTGTAGAATTTACAGAAACTACAAGTATTAAGAGCTTCATGTAGGAAATATTCTACAGAATTTGACCGCATGATCAGCTCTCAAAGTTATTCTTCTAAAAGGCCAGAAGACCTTTGAAACTTATTTTCCATATGAACATGTGATCTCTGTTGCTTAGGTGAAATGCACATGAGTAAGAAAACCTCATCACCAAGCCAAGATTAATTATTTCATTTTGCAGCTAATAAGTAAAGTTAACTTTGGGCATTGTAAATAAAACAGATGTACCTTTGCACCAAAAATCAGCAATATTTCCATCATTAAAGTAGATTTCATGAAAAGTGTTTAGCATTATTTGTGCCAATTCAGACAAGAGCTCAAATTATTGAATCACAATGTTTCAGTATCCAGCTTGTGTTATGATCGTACATGACAAAACCAATTTGAGGTGCTGAGAAGCAGCATTGCCTATTTGCAGCACCTCGGTGTGTAGTGCTTCCCATCCAATTGTTTCCTTGCTGCAGAGCAGCCTCCAAGCAGGCAGGAGCAGACATTTGGCTGGAGAAGCAGGAGGGGGTCCTTTAACAATTCACTTTTTCAGAAGCACAATAATATCAAGAAAAAATGTGAAATCTTTAGGTCTGTTTCCACTGAGTCTCCATCAGAACAGCATTTGTTCTTCAGCACAGTTACCTTGGTGAGTTTGGATGGCAGGAACTCTGCAGAAATAGAAGTTTCATAACAGCAAATGTAGGCTGTAAAAAAAAACCTCAGACAATACATATCTTTCTGCACATGGGCTGAAGCTACAGGGCAGATTTTTAAAGTACATTGATCACTTCGGCAAAAAAAAAAAAAGTTCGATTTCCAATTGGATTTACAGCTGTAAGTCTTTTAGGGAGAGATTTTGAAAATCTGTTTCAGGATTGAAATAGGGAGGTTATATTCCCAAGGGCTCTCTGGCAGTTGCAGAGGCCAGCATCTTGCCACTCTGCCACCTGGTGCAGCCCTCAGTCGGCACAGGGCTACCCCCACGGGGATGTGCACTGAGTCGGGGCACTTGGGACTGGGAGTACAAGAGAACAAAGAGCAAGCAGAGGAAAGGAAGCCCCTACCCGAAATACCAGTGAGATGCCCCCCTTTGCTATCCACAGCACAATCATCTTTTTGTAAGAAACAGGGGACAATGACATGAAAGACAAAATGTTTTCTTTTTAAAATGGCTTTTCAGGGAAACATGATTTCTTTTGAATATTCCCCACTTCTCTTTCAAGTATACACTCCTACCATCTTCAAATGCAACTGTTATGTCTCAGTTTGTGTAAAATAGTACTTAATGTTGATTGAAACATATTTTCAAATCCACCTATAACACTTATTATACATGGAATTAAAATTTATTTGTACCTGATCTTCAAATTAAGGTTTAGCATGTTTCTGTCATCTGTCCAACAATGTTTATACAACCAAAAAACTCTTTGCAGTGCTGCATTGGATGTAAACTCCACAACCATTAAAGAATCTGACAAAACCAGAGTTTCAAAACAGATGATTAGTCCATTTCCT